GTTTTCAAAAGCATGTTGTTGTAATAATTGTATGGTGTTATAATTACATATAATTGTTATAATTAAATACATCACCAATGTACACAAATAATGTGTTTTTTGAACCTTAAACCGCATAAACACATTTTATTACACCAAATACACAAAATAATGTTCTTTTTAGCAACATCATATGGCCCCTTTAATACTGTTCCTCACGTGCCCCTGCTCTGCACACACTTTGCATCTCTCTCTCTCTCTCTCATTCAGCTCAGCTCCAATAATGAACTGTTCCAATTATACACTTATTTTCACATAGCTATGAGAAGCGTTATACATGGTTATACCGCGCATGCAGTTGCCGTACTGTATTAAAGCTTTAATCAGGATAAAACCGTATATTAAAAGCTAACATAAGCAGTTGCATTTACAAATAACAGCATATCTAAAAGTATGAGACAACAACAAACAAAAAACATAGGCCTACCATTAAAAGCCGTGCTTGCACAGGTTCTGCACGATCCTCTTCAATAATATCCTCTGCTTCTCAATCGGGCTCAAACTGATAAGCGATATTAACAACGCCGTTGTTTACAATACAACCGGAGCACATGCCGCTGAGGTGAGGGGCGGGACGTTAGACGCACACTAGAGGCGGTTTAGCCAATCGCAACACACTGGCTAGCTAACCAATCAGAGCCCATCGCCTATTTCTGAGGGCGGGGCTTCATAAAAACAGGAAAAGATCAGCCCGTTTCTCAGAGAAGGGACACAGTGTGGTGTGGAATAAAGGTAAATTATGTGAAAAATAATGTTTTTTTTTTTTTAAATGAAGCACTAGAACATGTTAGACTGCACCCCATAAACACAATCAAGCCTAGAAAAAAAACAGTGAACCACCCCTTTAAGTTAGTAATATTAACATATTGAAATGATTACTAATCTGTGATTCGTTGTTTTTTTTAACAGTGTAGAATATTTTTCTCCTTTATATGTTGAAAATCTCAATTTCTAAAAGAAAAAAAAAGTATTACTATAATTATCACAATTAATAATAATAGTAATAATAATAATCATATAATTATGTTTTATGCTCAAGGCTGCAATTACTTTATCAAAAAAACAGTAAAGTCAGTAATATTGTGAAATATTATTAAAAAAGTTTTCTGGTTTAATATATTTTAAAATGTAATTTATTCCTGTAATGCAAAGCTGAATGTTCAGCAGTTATTACTTCAGTCTTCTGTCACATGTTCCTTCAGAAATAATTTTAATATGCTGATTTGCTGCTCAAGAAACATTTCTTTCATTATTAATTAAACATTATCAATGTTGAAATCATCTGTGTTCAAAGTATAAATGCTAAAAACTGTTGTGCTGAATAATATTTTTGTGGAAAGCATGAGACTTTTTTCCCAGGACTCTTTAATGAACAATAAATTTAAAAGAACAGCAATTATTTGAAACAAATATTTTGTAACATTGTAAAAGTCTTTACTGCATGTAAATTCATTATTATTATTATTTATTACAAAGTACCATTTTATAAAAGCAATAAGGAACTCATATTAAATATACTACATATTCAAAAATTCAAATGAGGCTGATCAGAGTGCTGAACTACAGGGTTTAATAACATAGCTGGCGCTGATAGCCTAGAGTAGAGTGTGTTAGCAACTGCTTTGGCTAATGGCTAATGCATCCCTTGGAAATGTCTGTCAAATCACTGAAAATGTTATGTTATAAAGCAGCTCGTCTTTCATCTTGAGTCACCTGGCGGGGAGGATACGGTGAGTTCAGATGTGTTATACAGTTCTCTAATTAAACGGAAGCCATGTGTAGGAATATATCTGAGCTCCCGAAATACAGCGTGACGAAATTCACTGGAATATTTGCCTGCGATGGTAAATGTGGTTATTTCAGCGTGGATAGGCACAGATGTGAAAACCCGACATGTGTGTCAATCACCTCAAACACATATTTTTTGTGCCGTTGTCTAAAGGGTAACGCGTGTAAGAGTGTTCAAATGTATAAAAGCTTTCACAGCACTTCAAAGCTTCCAGACCACTCTAGCTGTCTGTTCCTATGTAATAGACAGATAAAGGTAACCCGCGCTCAGGACATTACGATTCAATTCGTGCGAGCGACCAAGCGGTCCCCGTTTCCACAAAAAACAGCTGCAGCTTAAAAAGAAAAGACAAAAGTGAGTCCAAATGTTAATGGCGAGCCACATGTTTCTTACTGGCTCAAATCAAAATTGCTTGTGAATCTTGCTCATATCTTGAACGAATACATGCTGAACGCCACATCTAGGCCCCTGCGACTATGAAGAGAGAATGTGCATATCAAAAAGCTTTCAGCAACCATGTGCTCTCTCAGGGGATGAGGGTTGAGAATGTATTATGAAAATTGAGAGGAATAAGAAAAGGATTCTTACCTGATTCTGGATCACCTGTGGAAAGAAAAGTCAAAAGTACAAAGTCAGAGGCACCATTCCAGAACTTGGTTAAAAGATTACAGATGCATAAAACAGAAGCTCTGCTCATTCTTTTATCTAGTCACATTTTTGGTCCTTACAGAAAGTAAATCGCTAATATCTTGAGACTCGCAATGGATCCAATTGAGACTTTTTGAACTGACTTGCACACTGATTTGTAACAAGAATATGAATTAAAAAAGCTGGCAATGTTATGGGGAAAGCACAAAGGAAAATAAATGGGTTAAGTTAAAAATAAAGAAATTAAATCATAATGGAATATGAGGTCTTATTCATCACACCAAAAATGAAAAAAAAAAAAAAAACATACATTTAAAGTGTATTACATGAATAGTTTTGCCCAGTGACAGAATGCCTACAGAATAAGCTCTTGAACACTGAAATTTCACTAATTTACACATTTACTCACATTGAAATAATTCATTTTGCATAGTTTGCAAACTATGAATACAAAAGCACCATATTTCCACTGGCAGCCAAAGCAGCTGTAATTCTGAGGAAACCAACTGAATTTGTGCTAGTAGTGAGGGAGTGTGCAGGCGGCTCCAGGAAACCTCCCAGAGTAAAACATCGTATGTATCTGTTTTATGTCTTAATCAAACACTTAAAGTGTATAACCAATATTTTATAAATTCAGAGGAAAAGTAGGTCTGCCTTAAATAATGATGTCTCTAGTGCTCTACACACATAAATTATATCAACCAGAATGTCAAAATAATTTGGCCAAAAGGAGGCATACAAAATTACAAAACAAACATAAAACAGTGAAAGAGAATTTGATTTTTAAAGTCCGATTGCACATCTGTGTTTTCTCTCCAGCTGTGGTTTTGTATGTTGGGTTCAAATGTCAAAAGGTTGTCTTCAAAATCTATTCAAACTAAAATCCTAATATCATAATATTTTTTGTAATAGTTATTTGGGTAACAAATGAACACAGTATAACCACACTGACATGCATTCAAATGAGGATCAACTATATGAGGATGGTAGATATTGGCTGAAAGGTTGACAGGGTCAAAAACAAGAGTGTCAGGTCAGGACTGACTGACATTATTCAAGTTGACACATGTTTTGTGTTTTGCATTCAAATACAATTTTGGTTTGCCAAAACAATAGTTGGTAACACTAATTAAAGCCTATATTTATAATGCATTATAAAAGTATTTTTAATGCATTAATTATGCCTTGTAATGCACCTTATAATGCAAAATATCACTGTATGATCTCATAAATAATCGTAACCACAGTTATATTACATTATTGTCAATTCATTGTTACACCTTTAGAAAGTATAATGCATTTAAACAAACAAACCTTCAAATATTAATGCATTTTTACTTTGGTTACAATTATTTATAATAAAAAAAAGATTTAATGCATTACAACCTAAATTATGAATAGATTTATAATGCATTGTACATAAAGTGTTTAAGTAAAGTTTTAGCCAACTGTTTTTAATAGTTGTAGGGTATCAGACCGAATCAGACAATCTAAGATTTGGTCAAGAACATGCTTGAAACATGAGGAGCCGAATTCCACAGAGGCCCAAGACACAGGATGTTCGTAAATCAGATCCTGGCGCCACAAGCCAGTCTGAAGCAAGCCTAACCAACCAACTTTCACAGAACAGCTTTCAAAATTAACACAGAGAACACACTGATCATAACATCTCAGGAAGGAGATTGTCAATTTTGGGGCAAGTAAGCAAGATTAATGGTCAAAGAAATGCACAGCATGACCATCATGTAAACCAGTGATAGTAATCACGAGCTCTTTGGATTGACTTCCCCCACCTCGACGACAAAGAACAGACTGAGATTCCTTACAGACCTTTTAACCTCTGGTCTTCACAGAATATGTCCTCATCCACAGAATGGCATAGAAACTGCCTTTCCATGCACCTAAATGACACTAAAAGGACTTGTGAGCAACTAATAATTTCTATGCATAACTCCATATTATGTATGTAACCCACATGTGTGACTATCAGGTCTCAATCATTTATTGTGTATGTATTTTGAATAACTATTGAATAGCTTAAGGGTTCATATTCATGTTTAGTATGTGTGTGTTTGAAAATTCATGCTTGAAACGTTTCTTCCAATCAATTCTTTGTCAAATGTATCATATTCTTGTTATAGAAATCATGTCCAAAATTATACTCTGCAAGAGCGGGAAAACTCGGACCATGTGACTGATGAGATAACATTTGATTTATGAATTGGGAGGAGAAATATAAAACACCCCGAGCAAAGACGACATCTAATTGGTCAAAACACCATTTGGGAGGTGTCCAAAAGCCCAGTTTAAATACTCAGGACACCATCAAATCACTCTCTTCAGTTCTTCAGCTCTTCAGCTCTTCAACTCTCTTCTCTTCTCTCTTCTTCAACCCCCTTCTTTGCTCGCTCTTTGTTTCACTCTCTTCTTTTTAGTCATAGCTTTGAGCTATG